AGAGGGGGCATTGCAGCATCTGGGGGCCACTCCTAGAAAGACTTTCCTCTTTGGAAGCACCTGATTCACTTTATTTGCTGTGGAGCACTGGAAGAAGGGATTGTATGACTGTCCTGATGGCCTTGTTGTTGTTGTTAGTCACGAAGTCATGTCCGACACATCGTGACACCTTGGAGAACATTCCTCCAGGCCCTCCTGTCCTACACCATCCCTCAGAGTCCACTGAATTTCACACGAACTGCTTCACTGACTCCATCTAGCCACCTCATTCTCTGCTGTTCCCTTCTTCTTTTGCCATCTATTGTTCCCAGCATTAGGCTCTTCTCCAGGGAGTCCTTCCTTCTCATTAGGTGGCCAAAGTATTTGAGTTTCATCTTCAGGATCTGGTCTTCTAAAGAGAAGTCAGGGTTGATCTCTAGGACTGACTGGTTTGATCGCCATGCAGTCCAAAGGACTCGCAGGACTCTCCTCCAGCACCACAATTCAAAGGTCTCAATCCTTCAGTGCTCAGCCTTCCTTGTGGTCCAGCTTTCACAGCCATACATTACAACTGGGAAAACCATAGCCTTGAATATATGCACTTTTGTTGGCAGGGTGATATCTCTGCCTGGTGTACGTATATGGGAGAACCAGTCCTTTGGGTAACCTGGCACCCCATTCTTCCACACTTTGGCTATCATTTATCCAGGTGAACAAGGCACCACTTAGAGCCATCGTGGGTTCACATGCAATGACAAGCCACAGCCAACCCTGCTGTGGTATTTTAGCAGGAGTCATTCGATTTTTAGAAAGTATCATTGAAAAAAACATCTTTTCTATGATTTCTGTTTTTTATCATGCTTTCTCTGATCATCTGAACCTGTTGGTGTGACTTCCATGGTCCTGCTATGCCTCTACCACACAGACTCCTGGAAAGAGCAGCAACTGATTCAGGAGCTGCCCCATCCATCCACACATCTATTCTTCATAATACACGAACTTTATATTCTCCGGGACACACACATCTTGGGTCTGGTGGGACTGCAGATCTTCTGGGCTTTTGGCACAATGTCTGCATCTGAAAAGGAGAGTCACTCCAGCATCACACCTCCAAGACAAAAATGTTCTCTGCCATTTGGAGCATGGATGAACATGTGTGAGAGGTCAGGAACAAAGAAAAAGGGGTTGTGCAGGGAGATTGAGAAATGTTCCACTTGAGTGAAGTGCTGTTGGATTAGTGGCTTTCCCAGATTCCCATCCACCAAGGGGAATCTGACACATACTGCCAGGCCTTCTACAGTGTTTCACACACAGTGGATGTTCTGGACTCTGTATTTGCTAGCCGTTTATTGTGCCGGGGTGCCAGAGGGGGTGAAATAACTAATCACCAGTTGGCCAGAGACACTCTTTTTGAAATCTATTCATCCAGTGCCTTTCCCCTATAATCCTCTTCCAAGCATGCCCAGGCAGATCCAGTGCCAGTGCTTGCTCTCATCATGAAAAAAGCCAGAAGGTTTTCCACCAGGTCTCTATTTATCTATTTGCAGGTGATACGTTTTGGAACTGCTAGGTGAGCAGCAACTATATGAGAACGATGGGCACTAACTTCATCCAGCAATGCTGGCCTTGAACTGCTGGAGTGCTGACCATTTCTGATCAGCAGTTCCAGGGCCATTAAGCCACTGTGCAATCACATCATCACACAGCATACACTTAAATGCTGGCATTCAATTGCAGCAGGTGCAGCCACAGCTAGGAATGAACAGGAAAACTGTTGGATTTCCTGCTTTGGGCTTCCCAGATTCAATATCACTTCACATCAGCCCAGAGTCCAAGTTCCTGATGAGCACACTCAGCATGTGTGGGAATTTAGCCACACATTTTTCATAATCAGTGCCATTCTTCCATGCCCACTGCTGAAACTGGCACCAGGAATGAAGTAAGCTGAAGTCTGGAGAGATGGGCCTGAGGAACATGATGGATTTATTCTCCCTGATGGATTGTTCACACATCCCCATCAGAGGCAGGATCATAGGAACATCCCTTCCTGGACATGCAAATGGAGAGGTTTTATGATCCTCCTTCCTGCTTTTGGGAGTCCCACTGGCCCCCGGTTCACTACTGTGTACATGTCTTCTTGGGATGCTGAAGGTTAGATGAGAACTCACAGAAATCTCCTTTGCACCTAGAAAGCTCACACATACACACAGCTGTCTCAAACTACTGCTCCGCAAAAGTGTGGAAAGAACCTGCCTTTCCCCAAGAAGCAACGAGACTTTGAAATTAATTTCCTCCCCAGCAGAATTATTTGATGTTCTCAATAATAGCATGGGAGTGGCAGAGAGGGAACAGTCATCTGGGTGATTTTTTCAAGCAGGATATGTCAGGGAAGCACTTGGGAAGCACGATCTCCTCCCCTCCCCAAGATGCCAAGTGGAAGAACTTGAAGGAAAAACCCCCATCCTCATGCCAAGGATGCTTTACATTCACAGTCCCTGACCACTCCCCAGACGGTCTGCAATGCATGTTGTGCTACCTTCTTAGGAAGAGCTGAAACTAAGACTCATCCGAGTCATTTGCTACTATAAAATGCAGCAATATAAATGTGGCAAAGGGAGCAATGAAATGATTCAAGCAACCCCAAGGAAAAGCAACCTTGACTCAAGCCAAGGAAGAGCAACCTTGACTCTGCTATGCAGGTTAAAGTAAGCAGATGTTTCTCCCCAAGTCTGAAACCATGCAAGCAGTGGCCAGACAGATGTGAAACTGCTGTTCTGGATGCTCCCAGTCTTGCTTCAGAAAGCACAAGAGGGGCAAAATACAGAGCAGAAATTCTGAGAATATGACCAAGGACCAGAATGATGGGCTGCCTCCAGAAGAGAGGCACAACTGGAGTGCAGGATGGGGAACACTAAAACCTCATGACTCACCTCTCCTTCTGCTTGCCTGGTGACTCAGAAAAGACATAGGGTTGCTAGTACTAAAAATATTGTGAAGAGATGATTCCACTGATCAGGTAGTCTCCTGGTTGATAATAGTTGGATGCCCCTTCAACCAACCTATTCTCACCACAATTTGTTTCCTGCATCTCGGAAACTGCATGCACCGGCAGCAGAAGCAGCAGGAGCACCTACACTGGATACTTTGGCTCAATTCCCACATGCCCCTTGTGCCTGCTCTTCTCACACACACACTCAGCTCTACCAGAAAGCTCTGACCCTGCAGTCCAACAGATGCACTCACACCTGAGCCAAAGGGGGTTTTCTGAACGTCACCTGGGCACAGTGCATGCATTTTGCAGGCTGCCCTGAGCCGCACCCCAGGCCCTCAGGAGCACTGCAGGTTTTCCTCACAGCCAGTTTCTCAAGCACAGGCCATGGGGACTCCTGACATTCCCCTTGATTTTGCCATTTGGTTTCTCTGTCTCAAGAGAAATTTCAATAAGGTTTCCAGAGCATTGGCTGGAATCAACATTAATCGCTCTGTTCCTGATCATCCAATGGGAGTGAAACAGCCTCTCTGCTGCTGGACCCATCATGTGTCTCAAGGCACAGTTGCATGGAGGGAGAAAAACAGGTTCTTGTTCCTCTTTGATGAGGCTTCATCTTTTGCATCAGAGGGTGTGGTAAAAGGGAGCTAGGAAAGACCCCTATTAGAGACCCACGTGCAATGGAACCCAGATCAGGAACACCTATTGATATCCCAGATGTGGCTCTCTGCATATTTCCTCATTGTTTCATTTGATAGCCCTGTAGGTTTCCCAACCTGGTCAACATGGTCCTTTCCATCCTTCTCTCCGGGCAGAATAACCCAAGTGTATGGGATTCGGTGGAAGTATAGTGGAATTTTCCCCATTAGCATCAAAGTGTTTCTGCTCTGGCTTGGCCAGTCTTGGAAATAGGCCAAGCTCAGAGGAAGTTTGCCAACACTCATGAAAGAAAGCCTGTGTAACTGGATAGTGCACCGAAGGGTGAAACTTTTTTGACAGTGGCAGTACCAGGCTCCATTCATGGGGATCTGCCTCCAAGTGCTGGGCAGGAACTCGGGGTCACAGCACTGCAAAGTGTACCAGAGTAGAAGGAGGAAAGCCAGTGTATCCAGCATATTCCTATCCCAATCGCTTCCTCACACTTCCCTAGAATCAACCAATGGTGCACAGCTACCGATCTACTTCCTTCCTCATCCCTGGACAGGACCACCTATCAACTTATCTGGTGTGTGAACAGTTTACACATCGGTTTACATATCAGGTAGGACTGAGTTGTTGCATAGGCAACCACCCAGCTCAGTTCCAGCACTGCAGAGCACTTGCCCACCTCCCATCAGCCAAAGTGTTATCAGCTGCTGTCCCTGATGGATATTGCATTTTTTTTCATACTTGCTTTAAAGACGGCATCTTTTTTCATTCATATTTTATGAGAGCCTGATGGGTTGCATCATGGTACAGGATATATATAAGAAATGTTGATTACAACTAGCCTCCATCAAGGAAAAATCTACCTGGTTGTTGCAGCAGTTTTTGCACGTGAGAAAAGCTGATTCCAAATGAAAATGCCCCAAAGGATCTTGGCTCCACACTCGTGAGGTTTATGCCCTTTAAGCAGCTGCAACTGATGTCAAAAATGACTTGTCAGCAATGGTTTGCAGTTCCTTTAATAAGCATCTGCGCATCTGCAATGATTTCCAAAGGTTTCTGACTGCAGATATGGGTGTCTGTGAGCATTGAAATTTTATCTCACCACAGTTTGCTTTGAATGGCCAAGTCAGGCACAAAACAAAGGCAATTAATACCCTGGTAAGGTTTATACCTACCCAGCTGGTAAAGATAAAATGGAGAGGAGGACGATGTCAGCTGCCTTAAGAGCTTTGAAAGGAGAAAATGTGGGATATCAATAAATAAACAAGCCTTCCCAGAGATACAGGACCCAGATCTGACATCTATTTCTTTCATTGCCAACATAAGAAGTTGGTCCTATCCAAATGGTGCTGGGGGTGGAATACTTCAGAATCTCATAGATCAATCAGATGGCATCTTTAGTGTCGACTGTGAGATGCTGCTTTGTATTGAGATCAGGCCTCAGGACAATGATGTAGCACTTGGGAAGGAAGATGCAACCCAGTAACCCAGCACTGGAGGCCAGCATGGAGAAGACCTGCACAGCCACTGTGTACTTCCCCTTGGTACTCACATAGGAGGGCACAAAGGACACCCAGACACTGCAGAAAACCAGCATACTGAAGGTGATCAGCTTGGCTTCATTGAAGGCACCAGGAAGATTCCTGGCCAGGAAAGCCACCGTAAAACAGATGGCAGCCAGGAAGCCCATGTATCCGAGGGCTGTGCAAAACATGGCCACAGAACCTTCATTGCATTGCAGAATTATCTCTTCAGGCAAGGATTGCATGTCAGAGTCAGGGAAAGGAGGAGCCATGCCCAGCCAGATAGTGCAGATGACAACCTGCAAACTAGAACAGGTAATTACAATGGAGCATGCAAAACTCTTCCCCAGCCATCTCTTCACTCTGCTGCCTGGCTTGGTGGCCAGGAAGGCCAGCATCACAGTGATTGTCTTGGCCAGCACAGAAGATAGGGCAACTGAGAAGATGATGCTGAAGGAGGTTTGATGGAGCAGGCAAGTCGCTTCGCTTGGCTGCCCAATGAACAGGAAGGAGGACAAAAAGGAAAGTAGGAGGGAAACCAGGAGGGCATAGGAGAGGTCCCGGTTGTTTGCCTTGACTAGTGGAGTCTCTAGGAATTTGATGAAGATTCCTAATACAAACCCAGTGGTCAGAGAAGAGATGAGAGCAAAAAAAGACAGAAGGATACCCAGAGGTTCTTCATAGGAGAGGAAGGTTGTCTCCTTGGGGATGCATCGATCTTGGTCTTTGTTTGGGTGCTGATCTTCTGGGCACCTGGTGCAATGTTCTGCATCTGAAAAGAAGGCAAGGGAGTTCAACATTGCCACCTTCTATGGTACATCTAGAACAGCCTGTGTCCTTTTCATATGTACTGAAGATGGGGATGTGGGAGATGTTGGGGAAGAATCATGTTTGGCCTGCCCGGGAAAGGGGCAAATCTTCTATGAGAGGTGATGTACATTTTGTTTAGAGTGGCTTTCAGGGAGAAGGACAAGGAGACTCATCCCTGAAGGACAGGAGAGAACTCCTGGCAGCCTGAACCAAACACACGAGAGGTAGAGACCAGTTCTCCACAGCAGAGGAAGGATGAATTTGTTCCAACAGAGCCAAGCACAGGAAGCCAAGGTTCAGTTTGGATGCCAGGAAGTACTCCTGACAGTTAGGACCCAACGAGTACGGAATGGGAATCCATGGGAGGTGGTTGAGGTCCCATCAGTGAGGGTTTTCAAGGATGGGCAGTAGATGCACATGGTAGGCATTTCGTGAGAGGAGCCAGCTAGAGCCGGGGGTCAGTCTAGATGGCTAAGGAGACCCCTTCAGACTCACTGTCTTTCTATGTTTCTACAATGTTTCCTGATCTAGGAATGCACTTCTCTCCCTATTCAAGGCTCCACACATGCATCGTTGACCCTCCACCATGCAAGCTGTGGGGCCCCTGGCAGAGGGGCTCCATGTACACCCTGAATGCATGAGCAGCCTTGAATGAGGTCCCTGAAAAGGAGGGGAGAGACTAGCTCACAACAACAGCCAGCAATTCTGCACAGAGCGTTTGGGCGGACTCGCTGCTCTGCTGCAGTCACTAAGGGAACCCCCTTTCCTTGGAGGGCACCCACCTTCCTGAGTGGAGACTGTCCCTTCCGCACATGGAGTGCATGCATAGCAGCAGGGAAGCTTCCCTTCCTGAACTTCCTTGCCATAACCAGGCCGACAGGTCGCCACACACCTGGAAGGAGGCGGCACCTGGCAGTGAAGAGAAGAGCTTCAAGGAAACCATGTTAGGAGCGCACTTCTGTGGATGTGGACCCCAGAGATTGAAATATCCCCACAGGATCTCCCATCCTAGCTACCCTGACGAGTTTTCCCAAATATTTGGCATGCAAACAAGTCAAAATCTATCCTAAAATGTGGCAGGAGTGACCCACAAAGCTTTAGGTATGCAGGCCTCTGCTACCTGTGCTGTCACATGGAATGGAAACATGCAAACTCCCCAGTTCTGGTTCCTTCAAACCCCCTATCCACCTAGACTCCAACTTGTCAAGATGCTGCGCAAATCCATTGGCTTCAATCAGTGTGCGGAGAGACAGGTGCACAGCATGACTGACTTCCCTGTTTACGTGGCTTCAAGAAATGCATCAGTCTCTCTGTAGCATTCCAAAGACACCTTGTCAAGATCTTTCCATTATCACACCAGCAGCTGAGCATGGGTGAGAAATAGCACTGGGGGCAAGAAGGTTCTCTGTGGCATACCACAGGCAATTGACCAGAAGCCAGACATTGGCAAGAACTTGATAATATGTACCTGCAGCAGTTCAGAACACCTCTGCTCTCAGACTTTGACTGGAAGGCCCAGTCTTGCATTGACTTTTCCTCTCCTCCATGCTTAATTGATACTTCATTTGGAGACACCTTTTCATTTTCCCTCTCTATACATCTAAATATTCTACTCTTCATTTTGCTTGCTTTGGGCTCTTCCAAGTCTGTTTCTAGAGATTGAAGACATTTTTCCTCAAAAGTATGGGTTAGATCAAGAGTTTAGCAGCCTCATGTGCATTGAGAAACCAGAAGGAAACCCCAAAACAGGAAGGGTTGGGGAACCAAAAGAGAAGCTTCTTTTGCAAGGCCATCCTGCCTCTCATTATGCAACAAGAAGACCCATCATGCTCAGTTGGACTTACTTCCCTAGAAAAATGTGCTTTGAATGACAATGGATGGCTTGCATGTCAAATCCCACAGATTAATCAATTTTCTAAAAAACCCCCTGAGCGAATCTTAGGACGTAAGTTATTTTCCCCACCGTGTTAAAATGCTTGGGCCACACCATGGCTTCTAGGTTGATGTTGAGCTGTTTTCCTTTGATTGCTCCTCTTGTCCATCTCCCAATGTTCACCATACCAGCAGTATGATTGGGAAACAGCACCCAGTTCACAATATCAAAGTCAGCTTCCAGCCGTCCATGCTCATCCAAATGCAGCCCATCCATGGAAGTGTTGGGGTGCCAAATTTCCCTTAAGAATGCATGGAGCTAGAAGAACAGTGAAGACAACAAGGGAACATGCATGATTTTCTATGTTTTAGCCATGCTTGAACGCATGCAAATGTTCCGCCCCTAGTATGCTGGCAGCCTTTGTGGAAGCATTGTCCCCTACATTGCTTCCCATTCAGGATAGAACATGAGAAGGCAAGACTCCATGGAGAAGACAATTGTGCTGGGGAGACTCAAGGGCAGAAGTTGAAAGGGTCGACCAGATCTGAGATGGACTAAATCCATAAAGGAAGCAAAAGCAAAGGACTTGGAAGAGCTGAAGAGAGTTGCCATGGACAGGACATCTTGGAGGGCTTTAATTCATCGGGTAACATAAGTCAGAGATGACTTACTTGATGAAGCATAAAACCAACAGGTGAAGCTCAATAGCCCATGCTATCCAGACATGAAGCTGTATTGGTTGGGACAGGCAATAGTTCTACCCTAATGAGTTTTGGGGATATTTGTGAAGACAGGGAAGTCCCTTGCAGGTCATGGAGCACAGAAAACGTTTCCTCCCTTTCACATCCTTTGTAGATTCACTTTTACTGCTCTTCAACCCCCTTTCCAGGCCCTGCTTTTCCTGCTCTGTAGATTGTACATTGGTTGAAACTGGCCCCTTGAGCATTCTCTTGCACCCTCAAAAAGCATCGATCAACATATTGCTTTCTTACGGAACTTTGTGAAGGTGTCAATATCCCCCCACCCCCTCACCCAAACATACCCAGTGAAGATTCATTTAAAAAGTTGAGCTGCAGACACCAGCTCTGTTTTATGCCAATCTTCAGCTCTTACTTTCCCAGACCTGCCATATTGCAAGACAGCATGCAGATGCTCAGAAGCCAGAGAAGCCAGAGAAGCCTGCTACCTTCTCCAGGGTTGTCTATTGCAAGCAGCAAATGTGGTTAATAAAGCTTGGAAGATTTGCAATGCACTACATGGTTCCATCTAGGGAGAAATGCCCCTTAGGCATTGCCTTGCTCCCTCAGTGAAAATTGATCACCATATGGCTTTCTTCTGCCATGTTATGAAGGCTTCAACATGTCCACTGTCATGGCCACAACACATGCAGAATTTTCAGGGACACAGAGACACATCTCATCAGCATGCTGAGGACAGTTTTCTCCGGTGCCCATCCTGTCATTTCCAAATATCAGCTACTCATTCAAAAGAATGATTGTGAGCAAGAAAATTCCTTGTGGGACTGAACAGCTGAGGGGTCAAGGGGTCACGCACCAATATCTCCATGTACCTTCTAAAACCAGCTGTGCAGGTTGGAGCAGAATGACCCAAATGCAGGATCCATGACATCCTGAAACTGACATAAATCCTGCAGGATACCAGGGATGAGCACATCCATGTGGAATGATAGAGCAGGCTGCATGAGCTGGCTCAAACTCACCAGCTTTCTCTGTGAGGTCATCATCTGGGGACCAAGTCTCAGAACTAGACCAGGAAAATCAAGAATATGGGAATCCTCCATACTGCTTGCCAATGACCTGGCAAATAGGTTCCGCTCCTATCTCAACGGTCGATTCCAGAAGGTAGTGCTGGGGAACCATGTCTCTACGTCATGGCAGCTATGCCATAGAGTACCACAGGGCTCCATTCTATCCCCTCTGCTATTTAACATCTATATGAAACCGCTGGGAGAGGTCATCAGGAGGTGTGGGCTGCGGAATCATCAATATGCTGATGATACCCAGCTTTACCTCTCGTTCTCCACTAATCCAGGTGAGGCAGTGGCTGTGCTGAACCGGTGCTTGGCCGAGGTAAGGGAATGGATGAGGGCCAATAAACTGAAACTCAACCCAGACAAGACGGAGGTCCTGTTGGTTGGCGGATTGGGTTTCGGAGAGGGTGGATTTGACCTGGTCCTGAATGCTGCAACACTCCCTCTTAGGGATAAGGTCTGCAGCTTAGGAGTACTCCTCGACCCGGAGCTTTCTTTGGAAGCTCAGGTGACAGCAGTGGCGAGGAACGCCTTCCTTCAGCTTTGGCTGATTAATCAGCTGCGCCCCTACCTGGAGTACGACTGCCTGGCGACGGTGACACACGCGCTGGTGACTTCCTGCCTAGACTTCTGTAACGCGCTTTACGTGGGGCTTCCCCTGAAGACAGTCCGAACACTTCAATTGGTGCAAAATAGAGCTGCCAGGTTGCTGACGGGGACGGGGCGTTATGCTCACATGACTCCAGTCCTCCATCAGCTTCACTGGCTTCCCATTGAAGCCCGGGCCCAATTCAAGGTGTTGATTATGACCTACAAAGCCCTAAACGGCTTGGGTCCTGGCTACCTGAACGAGCGCTTACGTCAGTATATGCCCGACCGCCCTTTGAGATCTGCGGGAGAGTCCCTTCTCCGGGAACCCTCCATGAAAGAAATTAGGAGAGTAAGTACCCGGAGGAGGGCTTTCTCTGCGGTGGCGCCCAACCTATGGAATTCACTCCCCAAAGAGGTCCGCCTGGCACCGTCGTTACTGGTTTTTCGGCGCCAGGTAAAGACCTTTTTATTTAAACATCATTTCAATTGTTAAAACATATGATCTGGCCAGGGCAACTTCTTCTTCCTTCTCTTTCTCCTCCTATATTTTTATTTTATACTGATAATTTTAATTTTATATTTGTAAATCAATGTATTTTTTGTATTTTTGTATTTAATGGTAATTTATTATGTACTATTGTATTTCAATGTATTTTATCATGTTGTAAGCCGCCCCGAGGTTTCGGCAAGGGGCGGCATAGAAATGTTAATAATAATAATAATAATAATAATAATAATAATAATAATAATAATAATAAAGCTTCTCAATTATCTGACAAAAAAAGAAGGCAGCGGTGACTAAGTACTAGTTATCAAAACCCATGCTTTCCAGGAGAGTTTTTTTTAAAAAAGGCATATACCTGGAGAAGGAGATGCCAGTGCTTTATGAAAAAATGGGTTTGACTCTCTCTGGAACTGCACACTGAAATCCTTTTGGTATTAGGCACTATGGGAAATCATAAGGAAGACATGGTTTAGAAACTCACAGCGAGTACTTCGTTGAGCTCATCAGGGGAAATCTGTGGAATGGATGAAGCCGGCAGAGGTGACAGACTTCAGAATGGCCTCTCTCTAGCAACAGCATCAAAATGACTACATCAGCAAAGAAGGCAAGAGGATACTGAAAGTACATTTAGGAAACAAGGCAGTGCATTCCTGAGTGGTTCAGAGGAAAGTGCAAATGCTCCCAGGACATTTTTGAATTCATGTCCATGTAGCATTTTAAGGACACAGTGAAGGCAGTAGAGTAGGCTCACTATCCCGTTCTGCATTGCCATGCAATAGGCATGATGAAGCCCTGGACCCCATGTTTGCCTGACTGATTTCCTGAAATACATGTTTACTCAACTGACCATAAATCTTTTGCCATTTGGTGTGAAAGCAGAACAGGGTAGGGGAATACCTGCCAGGGCTCCAAACTCTGCCCCTGAAGTCTGTCCCCTCTCCCAGCCATCAATATCCACTTGGATCGGGATGAAAGTGCAGCATTTAAACCATGGGCTAACATTCGGACACTGTTGTAAGTAAGGAAGCTGTCTTGCGAAAAGACCCTTTCCAGCTCCTCCTGGGGGAGCATCTCCAATATCTCCTTCTGTCTGTAGCTCAACCAATTTCTCATGGAAAAAGCATGCTTTGAATAGAAACAATGGAAAGCATTCTCCCAAAACCATGCAGTAGCATTAGAGAATGGAATGGAATGGTCAAGTTTTGTCTTTTGGGGGCTCTTCATGATGAAGGACAAAGATCCATGGATAGGCTGAAAGTCATCAGGATGTGTCATTAAGTCCACTTTAATGTCTTGCACAGCAGTTGTGATCCAGACCTTTCCTCCAATTTGTTCACTTTTGAGCATCTCTTGCATCATGAAAATTGGAGCACAGCCATAGTGAGAGTCTGCATAGAAAACAGCTGCATTCACTTGTCCCCATGCAACAGTGAGCTCAGTTTGAGACATTCTGAGTACATTTTTTCGTGGTATCCTTTTTGTGAAGGCAATGCAGATTTCATGACTGATCATCAGCGGGATCATGGACCTCACAAATTCTTCTCCATTTTCAGTGTCTGGGGCAAAGATACCAATCCATTTCCAACCAAAACTCCCCGCAAGTCTGACGATGCCCAAGTATTGGGTTTCTTCCTTTGGGGCCATCCTGTAGATGAATGGGACCTGAGTGGAATCTTCCAGAGCAGGGTTAACAAAGCCATAACTGATCTAATGAAGGGAGGAAGAGCCTGGTGAGTTGCACTGCTTTGTCTTTAGGATGATCATCAACATTATATAAACATCTAATCTCTAAGCAAAGGCCCATCACAAGGGAAATTGAATTGGTGGAAGAAGAGAGGGTCAAAATATCTCTAGGATCTTCCTTACTGTACCAGTTCATTGTTTGCTTTCGAAAGAGGGTCCCTTCCCTGCAGAGAGAAAGGAATGCAGCCCAGGAAGGGTCAAGCAAAGTGAAGTGGAGAATAGGAAAGAAGGGGAGCAAACAGAAAAGAACAGGAGGAGAGGAGAGGATGCTATCCCATTTCTAAAACAGTATGTTGGTGAGACTCTTGATGGAGGTCAATCTTGTTGGACAGTTGCCTTGCTTGCCAGAAGAAACAACCCTCTGGAATTTTTTTCATTTTTCCAATGAACAATTTATCCCTCCAAGATCAGGCCAAGTGCTGGTATCCATGTCCTTTTCTAAATACTACCCGGAAGGCATTAGACTGATTTGTACACTTGCAGAATTTTTGAAGCCCACTGACAAGATGCATGTTGAAATTTACATTTCACAACTATTTCTAAGTTGTCAGAAGGATGTTTTGCACATGGTCATACTGTTTTAGGACGTGTTTTCCTTTGCAATATGCTGGTGTTCATTCTGTACGGTTACACTTGTGCCATCGCTACATGCTTTTCACATAATCTACTCTGTATGGGACAACTTGAAATGTTGGCAATCCTTAAATAAGTGTTTTGCTGAATTTCACTATTCCAAGGGCAAGTGTGACTGCTTGTAAAACTTGACTGCTTATATTCCAAAGGACCTTTTCTGAGGTGCAACACTTTCAACAGAGGACATGTTTCCTCAGAGGGCAACTGTGCTTAGGGAACAGGGCTCGGCCAGTGGAGCTGGCTTCTCTTGCATTCCCAGGACATACCTGAGGAATCTTGTAGATGCCTGACATGGCAGAAATGAGAGTGGAGATGTCCAGATCAGTTCCTTCAAGAATGGCGAGCAAGTTCTTCTTCTTCCCGCAATCAAAGTTGGGAAGGTGGCTTTTCCCAGCAGCAGGCAGGCCAAGCATGGCATAGGATGTCGTTCCCCCATCAAAATGGCTCTCATACATGTCGTAGCCCAAGCTGATGTTAGGTAAGAGCCTGGGGTTCTGGTTCATCTCATGGATGGAAAGCAGGAAGGACAACATTTGCCAGTACTTCACACCTAGGAAACTGCAATGCAAGAACTACAGAATCTGGACTTATTCTATGAAGAGGATTCAGAGGGTATTCAGGATCCCTCAAGAGAAGGATTTGATCACACAGCATGAAGTTAATTGATGACATTCACTTTCTGCAGGTGCATTGATTGCTAGGGATGTGCAAGGAATCTGCGTTGTGCAGAAAATTCCCTCCCTTTGCCTTCCCAGGCACAAGTCCGCTTGGCATCACCCAGAGTCTGAGTTCCTGGTGAGCAGGCACAGCATTTGCAGGACGTTCCACAGGGATCAAGCCACACATGGTGCACAAGCAGTGCCAACTTTTCATGCCCACCACTGCCACATGAAGCAGTGAGTGGAGAAGAACCTCAGTTCTGGGAATGGCAGCTTGCAGGCCACTTGATGTGCCCATTTTGGCACCCTGCACATGCTCCTGATGGGGAAGGTTCCATTTCCACTACTTCATCTTGGCTCAGCTCGCTTTGCTGGAATGGGCAGAGCACCAGAGGAAGGCTGTGGAAACTAGAGGGACTGATTATGAACAGGTTCATCCCATCCCTAGTCATGTCAGCAATTTGAAGGATTTAGCAGGACACATTCCTGGAGGAGATGGCCAGAGGTGATTGCTCTGTGTTGCCAATTTTATCAAAGGCTAGTCTTGGGATGAACTGTTCCAGAAACCGTCCCTCCAAATTTTTGCATGCTTTCTCTTGTGCTTGGCCTCGCCTTCCAAAGTTTGCCAAACCAAGAAAGAGTCCATGAATGCCTGGGAAACCCCAGTTGCACAAATTTCCACTCTAGTTGCCTCCGCAAAGTATGGGGAGGAAATTCCTAGTGGGTGACTGGGGGTCCAGAATGATGGTCTCTCTCCAGGAGATTGAGAGCATCAGAGGGCAGGGTGCGAAGTATTAAATCATCGTGACTCACCTCTCAACCCGGTTGAGGGGGGACACATAGAAGTCATAGGGTTGTCGATACTCAAAATATTGTGAGGAAACAAGCCCACTGATAAGGTAGTCTCCTGGCAGATAATAGTTGAATGCTCCTTCCGTATGCATATTCGTGCTACACTTTCCCTCCTGCAGTCTGGAAACAACATGGTGTGGCAGTAAGAGTAGCAGGAGCACCCATGTCAGGATGTGTCTTGTCATTATCCACTTGTTCTGAGTGGCTGCTCTGCTCACCTCCATGTCCTGTTCATTAAGGCAGCCAGAACAGTCTGACATTGCGGTCCTCACAGAAGCCAGGCAGGAGTCCTGAAGCAAAGAATTTTCCCACAAGTGCATTCAACATGCCTCTCTACCTGTCCCAAATCTTACCCCAAGCTCTCAGTAGTGGGACAGTTTTTTTCCACACCGTGCTTCTAATGTACAGGTCAAGCAGTTTCCTGTGATTGCTCTTCATGCTGAGGTTTTGTTTATTATGCTGAAAGGCAATCACAAGCATGTAACTTGGGCTTTGGCAGGGCTCAAGGGAATTCACCATGATTTGGATCATCCTCTGTGCAATGGGATGCAATAGAGGCCCCAGAGCAAAGCAGCACATAAGGAGAAAAACATGTTTGTAAGCACTTTTTGCTATGGCTTCATCTTTGGGAATGGGGAGGAAAAAGGGAGCTTGCCCTGTCCCCTCCTGGAGACTCTCCAGCCAACGGGTCTGGGTAAGAAACATCTTTGTTCATCAAAGAAAGCGGAAGGGACATGTGTCCCTCCAGAGATTTCTTCACTGATGAGATTGGTAGACCAAACTGGTGTTCTCAGGATGGTGTACATGATCATTCTCCACCTTCTTCCTACACACAATCAGCCATGCATTGTGTGTTACATAGAAACATGCAAACAAAGGGAGTCAGAAGGGATCTCCTGGCCATCTCCTTGGTTATTGTGGAAGGAACAGGTTTGGGATGGACCTGGGTGGAAATTATCCCTGTAGCATTCACAGGGTTCTTCCTTTGCCAGCCAAGGCTTGCCAAATGGGCCAAGCCAAGAGGAAGTCCACAAACAGAAGAAAGTTTGTGGAACTGGCAAGTTTTCTACATGTCAGTTGGGGCAGGTGGCACGGAAGAAGGAAGGTGCTTGGGCAGTGGTCCCACAAGGTGCCATTCTAAGCATGCCCCTGCGGATAGTCTTGGTTGTGTGCAGCACTGCTGCTGCAGGAGGTGAAGTAGAGGCCCCTTTCTTGGACAGCAGCTGTTGGGGCTCTATTCCTGGAGGGCACCCCGTGAAAGCTTTCTAGATCTACCATATAAAACCAATATAAAATATAGTACCAGTTGGAAAATAAAATAACAGATTTAAAGCAAACAAAAGCTGACAAAAAATCTTCAGCTAGCACTGAGGAGATCACAAGGAAGACAGCAAGGTGAACCTCCCTAGAGAAGGCATTGCAGCACCTGGGGGGCCACTCCTAAAATGACCTTCCTCTTTGGATGCACCTGATTCACTTTATTTGCTGTAGGGCACTGGACGAAGGGCTTGTATGACTGTCCTGATGGCCTTGTTGTTGTTAGTTGTGAAGTCACGTCCGATCCATCCCGACATCATGGATAACATTCCTTCAGGCCTGTCTATACTCCACCATCCCCCAGAGTCCACTGAAGCTCACACGAACTGCTTCACTGACTCCATCTATCTACCTCATTCTCTGCCGTCCCCTTCTTCTTTTGCCATCAATTGTTCCCAACATTAGGGTCTTCTCCAGGAGAAGGAAGTCATAGAAGGTCCTTCCTACTCCTTAGGTGGCCAAAGTATTTGAGTTTCACCTTCAGTATCTGGCCTTCTAAAGAGCAGTCAGGGTTGATCTCCTCTAGGACTGACTGGTTTGATCTCTTTGCAGTCCAAAGGACTCACAGGAGTCTCCTCCAGCACCACAATTCAAAGGCCTCAATCCTTTGGTGCTCAGTCTTCCTTATGGTCCAGCTTTCACAGACATACATTACACCTGGGAAAATCATAGCCTTGACTATACACACTTTTGTTGGTAGGGTGATCTCTATACCTGGTGTACGTATATGGGAGAACCAGTCCTTTGGGTAACCTGGCACCCCATTCTTCCACACTTTGGCTATCATTTATCCAGGAGAACAAAGGCACCACTTAGAGCCATGGTGGGTTCACATGCAATGACAAGTCACAGTCATCCCTGTTGTGGTTTTTCAACAGGAGTCATTGGGTTTTAGAAAGCATCATTGAAAAAAAGTCTTTTCTATGATATCTATGCTTCATCATGGTTTCTCTGATCATCTGAACCTGTTGGTGTGACTTCCATGGTCCTGCTATGCCTCTATCACACAGGCCCCTGGAAAGAGCAGCAACTGATTCAGGAGCTGCCCCATCTATACACCCACCCACCCATTTTTCATAAGACACAAATTTTTTATTCTCAGGTCATCTTGGGTCTGGTTGTGCTGCAGATCTTCTGGGCACTAGGTGCAATGTCTGCATCTGAAAAGGAGAGTCACTCCAGCATCACACCTCCAAGACAGAAATATTCTCTGACATTTGGAGCAAGGATGAACATGTGTGAGAGATCTGGAACAAATAAAAAGGGGTTGTGCAGGGAGATTGAAAAATGCTCCACTTGAGTGAAGGACTTCTGGATTAGATGCTTTCCCAGATTTCCATCCACCATGGGGAATCGTGCTAGGCAGTCTGGAAAGCTGCCTTCAGGCAACCTTACACAAGGCTATCAACCAGAGTGGAATACTCATGATGGGGCTTGATGCCCAGGTGGGTAGATTAGGCTTTAAGTCAGTTCACTCCATTGTTCAATATGGAGCAGAAGCTGGATTGAATGAAGGAGTATTCATGGGGTCTCAGCATAGTGATCCAACATCCAACTTCCACTCCTAGAAACTGCTGTTGAACAGGGGGCAGTATCACCTGGAATGGAATCATGGGCCTCTGCAAAGAAGACCAGAATCCAGAGAGAGATTCCTTGCATAGCCCCAGTTCCTTGCACACCTCCTGCCTGCTCTTGGGACTGCTGTGGAGAGTATCCTGCACAAGAAGAGAGACAGACTGGTGGTAGCCCTGGACTGCCTCCCTTCCCCCATGAGCTTCCTTCTCTCCATTGGACTCTTAGCAGAAGACTCACTACCACTTTGGGAAGAGGAAAATACAGGGAAACCAGGAGAATATTTGCTGCCTTTGCAAAGTCCTGTGGGGTGACTTGACCTGCCTTCCTTTTCCTTCTGAATAGGCTCCCCTGTATTTTCTCTGTGTTATGAGTCCCTCTGAAGGTAAGGAAGGGGCACCTTCTCCCTGGGAACATGTGCTACCCCCTGAGAATGACCTGGAACAGCCTTTTGAGATGAATTCTTCCTTGAAATGACTTCAGCATCGCAGACATGGCCTAAACCCAGCAGCACTTGCTTTGCACCAAGCACTGCTTCCAGTACTTCAGGTTCAACTGCCATGTCTAGATGTAATTATCCTTGGATTTTAATAAACTGGAGTGTGGCACCACCTGGCAGGAACTCAAGGAGCATCAAGGAAAAGGTATTTAGTGTTCCCGTGGAAAGGAACCGTTAAGATAGGGATGCCCTGAAGGACCCAGTCCTTGCTTCAGGGAAGCCCTTTTCAAGTGCCATGTCATGGCAGAGATCCCCTCTGCTCTGGGGGATTCTTTCCACCAGGCACGACTGCATCAGAATCAAGACGTGTGTGTGAAAGAACCTGGAAAGCAATCTTAGAACAAGCAACGTTACGCAAAATGGCAACAAAAGAGCAGCCATGGAGCTGATTACTGACAGTTCCAGGCAAGCCTTGCAGGTGGACCTGTGGCCTTTGCCAAAGCAGATGAGGTGATCCATACAGGTCTAGGATCTCTGGGATACAAGCAGCCAAGCTCTCAGGGAGTGAGTCACCACCGCGAGTGAACAGGGCCCCGTGCAGATATCCCTGTAGCCTCTTTGTGGTCTGAGCCATTCTGCAGAATGTGTGGCATCCATGCGCAGACTTCCTACTGAATGAAAACATGCAGTTCCCATCTTGGACTGAACTTCAGTTTCTCAGAGAGGACACTGCCCTGCTCATCTTGGGTGAGGGAAGACTCTTTCCATTCTCTCATATGTCGGTTTCCAGTTAAAGGAATTCAGATTTAAAGTTGTTGCATAAAACCACTGCTGGGCTGTGGCAACCACACAGGCTTGCTTGTTGTGTAGTGTGAGCCCAGCCACTGTGTTGTGCTACAGAGTTGAGGAAACACAGGGTGAGAGGGAAGCTCACAAAACACGGGGATGACTTTCCTTCTTTCAGTACTGGCTCCCAGAACAGAGTACTCAGCTTCCCTGGACCAGGCAGGCAAAGCATCACTGAACTTTGCAGCAATTGCCCTGCACTGCTCTGCTTTGGCCAGGAAAAGATGTGGCATCACTACCTTTGCTGACATTGCAGTTTCAGGTTTCTTCCAACAGGTCTCACTGAGCCCTGTGCAGAAATCCCTGGTACCACTTTGTGGTCTGAACCATTCTGCAGAAACCAGGGCATCCATGTGCAGTCTTCCTATGGCAGAAACATGTAGTTCCTATCTTGGGCTGAGGTCATTCCTGCCTCATCTCGGGTGGGGGCAGACACTTTCCCTTCTCTCAGTGCCTTATTGCAATTCCAGGAATTCAGATTTGAGGATGCTGCACAAAGCCACTGCTGGGAGAGGAAGTATGTGATCTCCCAAGGGGGCAGAATCCCAGTCAGCATGAGGCATGATGGACATGAGGCCTGCCATGGTTAATTGGGGGCGCAGGACACATTGACCCATTTCCTGATGCAGCAGCCATAAATCAATGTTATCATGCTTTGGGATCATCATGCCATGGGAATATTTTCTGTGTTTCCAACTTTCCTGGAGATACAGAATTAGGAAACAATGAACCAACTCCCACCTTCGCTTGGGCACTGGATTGGATGGGGAGGGGGTCACCAATGCACTGGGGGGCAAACCACAGTTTCTGATCTGAAGTAAATGGGTGGAAGCCTCCCCACAGCAGAGCCCTCCTCCCTCCATGCTCCCCCGAGGATCATCCCAGGCCCACAGGGGAAAGGTAGCAGTCTTTCCACCACCCATAGCTGGACTTCCGCAGCCTCCATGAACATGTTTTTTGTGCAGCATGGGATGCTGCTCTTAACAATCCTGAGCAGAAATGCAACTCTGGGAAATCCATAGAGGTTTGGTGAGAAGTGGCAGGAATCACTGTGATTGCCATAATTGTGGGAGCAGAAGCCTCATCCCTACAACTTCCTGGGCTCAGTGCAGTTCCAGGAGCAGTGAAGGGAGTGGAAAGTCTCTGCAAAGCTGCTGGAATCACCCTGGATTATGTGGGAGGACAGAAAAGCACAGCACCAGGCAGCTTGATCAGGCCTTTACATAGGCCCCACACTAGCCATTGTGGCCACGTTTCTCCATTAGGTTGTTGGAGTGTCCTTTTCCCAAGTCAGAATCAGGCCTCCTAGCCCTATCACTGTCTGCTATGATAAGAAACATCTTCCGAAAAGCTCAGGCTGGGTAACACTGTTGAAGAAGTTTCCCTATTTGGACAAGGCATCAAATGTGAACTCAGTAAATTCAATAAGGACCACACTTTGAATGGCCCCCACCCAAGAGTGAACTTGGGACTGTCCCATATCATGAGATAGGACAACTGCACAGGTTAATTTGTTTGGTCCAGGCAATCAGTTGTCACCACACAGATTAATGCATAATGACACATGATCAAGTTTGTAAATTTCAACATGGAAATTGAAATGCCAAGTTCAGTGTCGAGCTGCCTTCAGATCCAGGTGATACTCTGTGGAATGACCATGAGTCAGCTCTCATCCACACTACTCAGGCCAGGAGGGACCAGCTAAGGAACCTCATTCTTCCACCACAGAGAAGGCTTGGGCCAGCAAGGTCACATGCCAACCCATCCAGGAGGAGATTTGTGATGAGGACAGTCCTCCATTTCCTTCAGGGAACAGGCCATGTGATGTAAAAGTCCTTGGTCACCAACATCTGCTGGGAAGCCTTGTGCAAAGAGGGAAGAGGGAGCCAGGGAGCAGCTTCCATGCTGAAGGAGAGAAATTGTATTTCTCCCAGGGATTTGAAAAAGAGAGGGACTCACTCTGGACACACAACATCTCGACATTCAAGCTTTACGCACAAGTTCTGAAAGCAAGCTCTACTGCTTGGCTTCTTTGGGAAGACTCAGGTTCGAATCCTCACAAACCCCCAAAGGAGAATTTTCACTGGTCTGAGACATTGCAAGTTTGTTATTTTGACGATAAAAAGTAGAGGAGCATGACCTTGTGAGCTGCTTTGGCCACCATGCCAAAAGAGGAAGAGTGGGAAATGAATGTAGGAATAACAGGAGCCAGTTGACAAAAGAGATGCAGCTGTGTTGCCTGAATTATTATATTTATTCTTTATTGCAGCAACCCAATGTCCAAAACTCTCTGGATAGTTCACAACAGTTACAAGGATGAAAATATTGCAAGCTAAAAAAATGTAAAACTTTCAAAACCTTAGTGCTCCAATTAAAAGCCACAGGAGAATCCAGCAAATGTAATGATCTAAAACTACTGTCACATGTTAAAAGCAGCTAATGCTGAGAAGACAAATCTTGTCTTCACAGGGAACCAGAGGTCACAAATTAGGAAGCCAGGTGAGCTTCTATGGGAGGTGCATTATATCCACTGGGGGTACTACTGAAAAGACAATCCTGTTAGCAAACATCCAGAGTTCCAGTTCAAGGCTCAGATGATATCTTTTCTTTTGATCATGAGATGTTCCTTCATATTCAGCTCAGGCCTCAGGACAATGATGTAGCACTTGGGAAGAAAGATGCAGCACAGCAGCCCAGCACTGGAGGCCAAGATGGAGAAAACTTGGACGGCCACCATGTACTTCCCCTTGGTGCTGAGGTAGGAGGGTACAAAAGACACCCAGACACTACAGAAGACCAGCATGCTGAACGTGATCAGCTTGGCTTCATTGAAGGCCCCTGGCAGGTTCCTGGCCAGAAAAGCCACCATGAAACAGATGGCAGCCAGGAAGCCCATGTAACTGAGGGCAGTGTAGAACATTGTGAGAGACCCTTCATTGCAATTCAGGATGATGTGTCCAGGCTGGGAGTGCATGTCAGAGTCAGGGAAAGGTGGAGAGAAGCCCAACCAGATGGAGCAGATGACAACCTGGACACTGGAACATGACATGACAATGGACCCTGCAAGGCTCTTCCCCAACCACTTTCTCACCTTGTTCCCCGGCTTAGTGGCCAGGAAGGCCAGCACCACAATGATGGTTTTGGCCAACACACTCGAGGTGGCAACTGAGAAGATGATGCTGAAGGCTGTTTGTCGAAACAGGCAAGTCACTTTGCTCGGCTGGCCGATGAATAGGAAGGAAGACAAGAAGGAAAGCAGGAGGGAGATGAGGAGAATGTAGGAGAGGTTCCTGTTGTTGGCTTTGACAATTGGAGTTTCTCGGAATTTGATGAAAATTCCCAATGTAACGCCTGAGCTCAAAAGCCAAATTAGAGCATTGGAGGCCAGGACAATCCCCAAAATTTCCTCATAGGAGAGAAAGGTAATTCTCTTGGGGACACAGCGATCTCAGTCCTTGCTTGGCTGCTGATCTTCAGGACACCTGCTGCACTGCTCTGCATCTGGAAAGAAGGGAAGCCCCTTCAGCATTTCCACCTTGAATGATTCATCTGGAACATCATCTACTGCATTTGGTAAAGAAGAGGGTGTGGGAATACATCAGGAGATAATGTTTGTGGTCTGACAGGAAGAGAGGCCAATGTCCCCAGGGAGGGGCTCACCTTTGCTTCCCTGGCTCTGTCTATGGCATCACCATCACACATGCCATCCAGTATGAGGAGATTTCAGTCCAACTTGGAGGACAGGATGGAGCTTCTGACAGTCAGAACTAAACTCAATACGAGCTCAATGAATGAACTATGCATGATGGCCATACCTAGGTAGACAGAAAGACAGACAGACAGACTGTTGTGACTGACGCCCTGACAGAGGCAGCACCTCAAGTGGAAAGACCAAACACCCAAAGAGAGAATCAGACATCAGAACAGGAGGATTTATACCTGAGTCCCTGTGGCCAAATGTCCCTTCCACAACCTGACTTGGGAATAGCTGAACAGATAGCCATTCCTCATCCTGACCATTTACCACTTGGGCAAACATCCAAGCCTCTGTCCGACCACGAGGGCCCCGAGGGAAAAGGCACTAAAAGGTCTGCTCATGAAGAGCATGGGCAGACTGCCCCCCTTCCTCCTGACGTTAAATCTCCTGAACATGACACAGAAGACAAAGGAGGCGTGATAAATTTGTCCCACGTGACTCTTAGACGTTCCATGTGCCAATTGGAGCAGAAGAAAGCTTTGTCCCACCTCAGAGGGGAAAGGTGGGACGAGGAAAGCTAGTCCCATGTGGGTTCCTTGAGGAATGTCACTAAGGAATTAGCAACTGCCTTGTAAAGACCATTGCAGTAGAGCTTATCTGTAGCGCTGTAAATCTTGTAGATAAGTAGCAATAAAAGACTTTAGCTTTATTGTCTGTGAAAGTGTGGGTCTTTTATGCTGTGAGCTGCCACTCACAACACAGACAGACAGACAATGCTGAACTATGCTAAGTCAACATAGTTTTGTGAGTAGTTCTGGCTTTTTCTTTTTTCTTTTCCCCTTTGCATCTCCACAAGAAGTGGTTGTGTGAATGAAGTTCCAGTGATAGGTATTGGTCTTCTTCTTCTTTTAAAATTTCAGTTTACTTTTTTTCCCTGTAGAATGCACGGGAAAGTAGCCATCCTACACCAGGTCCTAAGAAGAGTCAGAATCTGGCAGGATGGCTGGAGGGGCTGCGTGAACAACCATGTTTCAGGGGCAGGATGGAATGCGCATGGTTGGAACCCTGCTTGGGTACTGTCCTGACTTCACATGCTACCCTCTAAAAATGTTCATGAGTTAATTCCTAAGAAGGACGTCATCACAATTGAGAGGATGCAAAGAGCAGGAGCTTCAACACTGTTAAAATGGGGGAGGAGATGCAGATAGCTTTCCCAGCCATTGGAAATAAATTTATTTATTTATTTATTTAGAAAATTTCTGTGCCACCCCATTTGCCGAAGCCTCGGGGCAGCTCACAAATAAATCAATTAAAATATTATACATTAACAATATAAAACAAGTTAACAATATAAAATAAGTCACCCTGGCCAAAGAGTAAAATAAATAAATACTATTAACAGTTAAAATGACGTTTGAAGAAAAAGGTCTTCGCCTGGCACCGAAAAACAAATAACGACGGCGCCAGGCAGACCTCTCTGGGGAGCGCATTCCATAGATTGGGTGCCACTGCAGAAAAAGCCCTCCTCCGAGTACTTACCCTCCTAATTTCCTTCACTGAGGGTTCCCAGAGAAGGGCCTCTGTTAAGGAAATCCCTCTTGGTAAGGCATGAGTTGTCCTGGGTAGGGTGTTCCACTGACAGGGGGTCACACCTGAAAAGTCTCTCTGCTTGCTCACTAAATACCTTTCAGGTGAAGGCTCATTTGGAAATGAGATAGCAACTACTCATACAGAGTATGGGCAGACAGCAATTTGCCCTACGTTCGAAGGGAAAAGTGTTTCCTCTGTGGAGACCCACCTTCCTGAGTGGAGATGGTCCCTTCCACACATGGGGCACAAGTGCAGCAGCAGGGCAGCTTCCCCTCCTGAGTCTGCTTGGCATAACTGGGGTGACAGCTCTCCACACACCTTGAATGAGGTGCCACCTGGCAGTGAGGAGAAGGAGCAGTGTATGGAGTCAATTTCTTGGAAGTGAATCATAGGGTCTGAACATTCTGAGTGGGATCTTTAGTCCCATTGACAACCAGTCTCATTTTGAAATGATTTTTGATTATGTACTACACTAAACCAGTTTCATGAAATCAGTAGTTTGAGCACTACAATATTTCCTTTTGATGTGGATGTACAGTATTGTAAAATCGGGAACTGAATCAGCTCAACAGCTCTCCTGCAAGAAGGGGACCAACATGCAGAAAGCTTTCTAACAGCACCCATGAAACATGCTGCTGCTGATGGAAAGCAAGAAAGGCCATCGTTCATCTTCAGTAATTAGGGTGAGCTCCCTCAGAGCTGAGGGGCCATAGCTGGGAAGGGCTCTTCCTGCTCCCTGTCATTTTCTGTGTTCTGTTGTTGTCGTTGTCATCATCATCATCGTCATGTTCATCATCATCATCATCATCATCATCATCATCACCATCATCATCATCATCATCAAGACTAAGAATCTAAATGAAGCATTACCATTTAAATTAATTATGTAGCTGTTCAGCCTTTTCCCTTTAAAGGATATTGTTCTTTGTGCCAGCCTTTCTGCTACTTGCCGAGGAATATCATGTACCCACTCCTCAAGGCTGAACATGCCCAGGTCTCTCAGTCTCTCTTCACAGGGCAGTATTTCCAAACTCTGGATCAGTTTTGTTGCTCTCCTATGCACCCTTCCTAAATTTTCTGCATGTTTAAAAAATGTTGGTGTCCAGAACTGGGCACAGTATTCCAGATGTGGTCTGACTAGTGAGGAGTATAGTGGAACTGCAACTTCTTGAGATCTTCAAGTAATACATGTATTAATGAATCTCAACATAGCATTTGCCCTTTTGGTGGTTGCATCATATTGTTGGCTCATATTTAGCAAGTAATATACAATTACTCCAAGGTCTTTTTCTTTTTCAGTTCTGTTGAGCCACATATTCTGCATCATGTATTGATGCATTTGGTTTTTTCCACAGAGTTTCCTCATTTCCCATTTCCTCAGGGTTCCCTTCTTTCATGGCTTGCTGATGCTCTTCTTGCTTCCAGACTACACTTGGCTGTTACAGCTGCTCTACTCAGGAACTCATTGTATTCTTTTATTATCATGATGGTTAACAGGCACTGCTCCAGTGCTCCAAACATACAGTACATGGGATTTCTATAGACATGAAGGCCACGCTGTCATTCAAGCATTCGGAAGAACTGACCACAGCTCCCCGAGATGTGGACTCTTGCTCCATTCCCCAGAAGTCACTTGGGCCTCTGCTGCCTGTGGGGCATCCAGAAGCACTTCCTCTTCTTTGTGATCACTCAGGCTCCCCCATTCTTGTGTTTCCAAATTAGCAAGCCATGCAGTATGGGAGTTGTCAACAATCAGAACCACTTTGTGGACCTTATTCAGTGTACCCAGACACAGCTTCAGAAGATTCCTCTTTTCCCTCAATTCCACAATCTGAGCAGAAATGGAGATCCCTTTCTCAGCATTCCAGGGACACCTTGTTCTAAATCTCCCAGTGAGGACCACAGCAGGTCAGTGCATATGGTGAGTGTCTGTGGAGGCAAAAAACAGCTCTGTAGCATCCACAATAATATGGGCAGTTAGTCAGAAGTTGGAGAAAGCTTGGCAACATAGGACAAAAACAGTGGAGAATAGCTCTGTCTTGGATATTTGGGAAATTCTGTTGGAGACATCACCATTCCATTGGCCTTTCACCTCTTCCTTGCTAATCTCATGACTTCATTCTGATGAACTTTCCCCGTTTCATGGAAATGTGCTCAGCTACCTGACAGTGTGAATTAGACCAGGAGTTTCACTGAAAGGCTTTCATCAGGCCACCTCCTGTGCATCGAGAATCCAGAACACCAAACCCTGAACAAGAAGGCTTGAAGACTGGAGTCCAACCTGGCCTCTGCTGCAGTGAGCAGGTTCCCTTGGCAAAGTGCTCCTACATGTGTGCTTACAATGGATGTCTTATATGTACTATTGCACAAATTGTTGCTATGATCCACATGCAAATAATAGGACAGAAATTATATCCCCCACCTTGTTAAAACGAGTGGGCCACACAATGTCACCTGGGTTGATGCTGAGCTTTCTCCCTGGAAATTCCCCTCTCATCCAACTCCCGATGGTCACAATTCCAGGGGTACCATTGGAAAACAGGACCCAATTTACAATATCATAGTTGGCTTCCAGCCAACCATGCTTGTCCAAATGCTTCCCATGCATAGAAATGTTAGAATGCCAGATTCCTCTTAAGAAAGTGTGGAACTAGTATGGTAGAGAAAACAATGTGTTAACTTCATTCGTTCGTGTTGTGTCCCGCGGTTTTACTGATGAGACCAGAGACCAGTTGGAATTTTTGAGAGGAGTTTATTACCTGCAGGGACCACCACTCGTTAGAGTGTGGTCTCGAGCAGAAGGAAAGCAGAGTTTTTATACTCTTTTACAACTATGCAGGTGCTTGAATAACAGCGAACAGTAGGAGAAACCCGCTGAGCCACATTTGCACATTTTTCATGCTAAAGCAAGTGAGGGTACGAGGGCGTAACATCTGCGGTTATGATGGAGCGTAGCCTGCTTTGTTGTCAGCCTTGCGTAGCATGCACATTCGTTGGGGTTCTTGTTCTCACGCGAACAGGACACGCTGATCATGCTTTTTACCCGTGACGAGCCATGCCCTGGCTGCATGTTTGATTAAGAGGGGGGGTTACAACAGTTCGTTCGTTCATTCGTTCATTCATTCGTTTTGTTTGCAACTCCATAGCCCTAGGGCTGTCTTGCACTGAAGGATGCCGTGTACTGAAGACAAGGTGCAGCCCATCTGCAGTCAGATTTCACAGTACATTATTGATCTCCTTCTTTAATCCCTTAGCATTTTGCAGCTGAGCAAAATCAGCAATGTCACATAGAG